CCACGGCGGCAAGTTGGTCCTGATGGCGCTCCCCCCCAGGTACGCCTCGGGCCAGGGCCAGGGAGGTGGCGGGGCTCTCTCGCACGAGGAGCTCCACGACTTCATCCTCCGGCCGAAGTCCGGCGGCCCGCCCCTGCTGCGCCCTGGGACCATGGTGCACACTGACGGCGCGAAGGCGTACCGGAACCTGGATTGGCGGACGGCGCACGACGCGCCGCTTCCGGCTTCCGAGGAGGACGTCGTGGGGGCCGCCAACCTCTGTCCCGGGGAGTGGAGGCGGGAGACCTTCCGGGAGTGCTTGGCGCGGTGCGCGGCGGAGCGGCGGGACTGGCGGGACCGCCGGGAGGAGTGGGCGGCGAAGTACCGCCATCTGCGCCTCTGCCACACTTCCGTGTGCCACTCGCGCAAGGTGGCGGGGCGCGTGGAGCGGGAGTTCACCGCCATGCGACTCGTCCACGTCCACCCAGACGACGTGTCGGCTGTCGAGGAGGTGGACCCGCGCGCGGGGCAGTGGGGCGGCCCTGAGTGGACGTGGCGCGTAGGGGGCACGCAGACCGTCGACGGGCATTGGCGGAACCTGCGGCGGGGCGGCTCCCACCGCGGCGTCAACACGTCCCTGACTCAGGCGGTGGAGCAGGCCGTGCTGGTGCACCAGTGGGCTTACCGCGCCACGCCGTCCGCCAACATGCTCACGCACCTGGGCAAGACGCTGGCCGCGTTGCGGGCGCAGCGGGCCGCCGATCTCTCCCTGCAGGGTCCGTCCCCGTCAGAGGTGCCCGCGGGCAGCCCCTGGGCCCGGCGGGACGCAGCCCTCGCCAAGGCGGCCCGCAGGGAGGCCGTTCGCGAGAGGGCCAGGGCGAAGGCCAAGAGGGCTGCCGGCGCCTCCGCCGCGGCGCGCCGGCGGGGCGGCCCCGGCGCCGCCCCCCCCGCGGCGGCCCCGGCGGCCGCGGCGGCCGGCCCCCCTGGCGGGGCCGCGGCCGGGCCTCGGGCCGCGGCGCCCAGGCCCGCGGGGGCGGCGGAGGCCGCCAGCGACGGGCGCAGAGCGGACGGCCAAGCCTTCAAGAGGCTCCGGCGCGGCCCCTCGGCCCCAGGCATTCGGCTGGGCTTGCCGCTGGGCGCCCCCGACCCGCGGCTCGACCCTGCCAGGCGCTGGCGGAGCCGCTTCCAGGACGTGGCTGACGAGGAGCGCGCCGAGCGCGCGGCGGAGCAGCGCGCGGCGGAGCCGCCCGCTCCACCGAGCCCGCGGCCGCCCCAGCATCCGCCTTTCCAACGCGGGGACTTAACGGTTCTCGGCGGCCGCGTCCCTCCCCAATGGAGGGGGGTTCGCCTCAGCTAGTTCTTCGTTTCGCTTTCGCGCGCAGCATTCTCTGCCCACATCTCTGTTCGGGCCCGCAACAACTGCGGGCAATTCAGCTCCGGTGCTGCATTTGCAATATGTGCCATTGAGCTTGCTCGTGATGTGCGTGTGTGTGTGTCTCTGCGTGCGTGTGACAGGAAATTATTGAACCTCACTGAACACGTGTCGTGTGCGTGTGTGTGCGTATGTGACTGTGCATGTGTGTTGTTTCAATTTTGTCTGCATCTGCCATTTAAGCTTTAATCTTAAACATAAAAACATGCCCAGTCGATGATCCGCCGATGATAAGCGTAGCCTGGGACAAGACGCATTCAGCTGATGTATGAGGGCACAAACAACACAAATAATCGGCTACGCTTTCAATCGGCGGTAGGGATCCGGGGGCGCCAGCATGCATCGTAGCACCAGCCGCCCTGGGTCTGGGTCCGGGGTATAGATCCAGGGTCCCCGGCGCGGCTCCGGCGCACGGCCGGGCGCCTCCACGAGCGGGGCGCCCGGACCGACATCGGGGCCCAGATGCGCGGGGCGGCACGAGTCGAAGCGCCAGGGATGGGTGGGATATTGAAACCAGGTATGTCTTCAAGCGTTCGTGGGGATGCGAAGGGATTGCGGCGTTTTCGCGATGCCGCCCCAAACGGGGTGCGATGCATAGCGGCTCCTGAGGTTGCAGGGCCTCTTCCTTATCTTCACCTATCCTCGCCTTTTTCCTGGATCCTCACATTCCCCGTGCCTCATCCCTTCTCGTGCATGACCGTTGGCCCGGGCTTGCAGTTTCTGATGTCGTGCTTCGTGGTAATCGAAAGTATGCAACAAGGAGTACTCGCCCGGGCCATCGGCGGACCTCCACCCGCCCCGACCGCCTCTGTGCAAGGCGGTCGCGGGGGTTACCGCGGGTGGGACTGGGGGCTAGTCGGAGCGCGTTCTTTTGTCATTGCTTCAGTGCATGTCTCTTCCGTCCTCTTCCGCGCTCCGGCTGGCGTGGGTGGTCCTCCAATGGGCCCCCAGTAATTCGGCGGCGTGTCCCGCGGGGCTTGGCGGGGCGCCAAAGTGCGCCCCTCCTTGCCGTGGCAGACCACGTGGCAGGCCGCGCCCTCCCCTTTTCTCCGTTCTCTGTCCCATCTGATTCTGCGTGCGTATGGGTTTGTGTGGGCGTGAGTTTGTGTGTGCGTGTGTGTGTGTGTGTGCATGTGTGATGGTGTTTTTTCCCGCAGCACCGCGAGCATGTTTCACTCTGTCTTGTCTTCTGACGCCCTTTTCCTCACTCTCGCGCTCCCGAGAACCCCCCCCTCACTCCGCCGCCGCAAGTTCCCCTCGCGCGGCTGGGGCGGGGCAGGCAGGTGCCTGCCCCAGGCATGCCTTCGCGGCGAAGCCCCATCCCGCCTGGGTCGAGCGGGGCAGGCAGGGCCTGCCCCAGGCACGCGGCCGGCTCCTCCCCCGCCCCCCACCCACGATGCCCCCCGTGCGCTCCTGTCCACCCGTCTTCCTAGATTGGCTCGTGCCTTTCCGTGCCTCTGAAACTCGCTGGTATTTGTCCTACCTAGGTCTTGCTGCCGTACGAGCCAAGCCTATTGATTGAACGCCCTCACGCTCCTGCCTCCCCCCAAAAGGAAGGCATCAGTTCCCCAGTGCGATGCAAACAGTAGGACCGCAAGCCACGGTGCAATGTGCACAACGCAACGCGCCAGACAAACACCAGTGCACAGCAAGAAGGACGTGCCCACATAATTAGGCACGGAAGCCCCTTGCGGCACGAACGCCCCTTCAGGTCTCAGCAAGGCTTACCATTGCTTAGCAGAACTCAGCAGTGCCTAGCAGGGCTTAGCGGGGCTTTGCAGAGCTGAGCAGGGCCTATCACGGCGTAGCATGGCTTAGCAGTGCGTAGCAGGGCCTAGCACGCCCTAGCAGGGTTTAGACAGGGCTGAACACGGGTTAGCAGGGCTTAGCAGTGCTGAGCAGGCTTAGCACTACTACTACTACTACTACTACTACTACTACTACTACTACTACTACTACTACTACTACTACTACTACTACTACTACTACTACTACTACTACTACTACTACTACTACTACTACTACTACTACTACTACTACTACTACTACTACTACTACTACTACTACTACTACGACTTCTACTGCGACCACCACTATTACCACCAATACTACTACTACTACTACTAGTACTAGCACCACTACTACTACTACTACTACTACTACTAGTACTACTACTACTACTACCTACTACTCCTACTACTACTACTACGACTACGACTACGACTACTACTACGACTACGACTACGACTCCTACTCCCACTACTACTCCTACTCCTGCTACTACTACTACTACTACTACTACTACTACTACTACTACTACTACTACTACTACTACTACTACTACTACTACTACTACTACTACTACTACTACTACTACTACTACTACTACTACTACTACTACTACTACTACTACTACTACTACTACTACTACAAGCACCCCACAAGCCTTGAGGCCCCCACAAGCACGGCCGCCGCGGCTGCCGCTGCCACTGCCACTACTGCGAATGCCACAGAGGGGTTCCGCTCAGCATCGTTGCGCGTGAGGAGGGGGAGGAGGAGGAGGAGGAGGAGGAGGAGGAGGAGGAGGAGAGGAATGCGAGGAACGGGGGAAGCAGGAGGCAAAGGAGGAGGAGGAGGATGACGATGAGGAGGCGGAGGAAAAGGAGGAGGTGGAGGAGGAGGAGGAGGAGCAGGAAAAGGATGAGGAAAAGGAAGGGGAACAGGAGGAAAGGGGGGGAACGGGAGGCGGAGCAGGAGGAGGAGGAGGGCGAGGAGGAAGAGGCGGTGGAGGAGCGAGAGGTAGAGGAGGAAAATGATATTCGGAGGAGGGGAAGGAGGAGGAGGAGGAGGAGGAGGAGGAGGAGGAGGAGGAGGAGGAGGAGGAGGAGCAGGAGCAGG